TCTGAGAATACGGGTTTGATTCCTGACAGGGACAAGAAATTTTTTTCCTCTCCGTTGCATCCAGACCGGCTGTGGGGCCCAAACGTCCTCATATCCTATGGAAACTGGGGGCTCTTTCTCGGGGTTAAACCGACCGGATCCAGTGCCTAAGTTATAAATGCACAGTTACACCTTCATTTCCCCATACGTTCTCATGGCTTTGTACTTATGTAATTAAGTGCCGCGACAATTTTCCTTACTGTAGTATTTTCACGTTTTAAGGAGCCCAACAGTTCTTATGTCTCGTTCAAACCGTGTTCACAATTGGTAGGCTCCATGACACTGATGCGGAAGGGCTCCGTGAAATACTTATTCTTATTTGAAACGTTACTTCACGAAATGTCCATTCAGATTTCGGGAAATGTCGACAGATCAGGTCTGTATGTCATGTGTTCTTCGGCACCCCACACTCGGAATTAGTGGATTTTTTACTTTGTCCATCGTCCGGTGTTCTAGAAAGTACGAAGTAATTGTGAGAGTTAAGGTTAAGGTAACTTGGTCTCGTGCCCATCATCACGCTAGGAAGACTTATACAGGAAGTGAGATGATAAGTTCCGTCCATCCTGCAGATCAGTATGAGATGGAAGTGGACAGCTTCACGTTCGGCTCTCCATGCCCGCGGGAAACTCCCGCTGAGTGGGCCCCAAACTGGGTGTCGGCGCCACGTCGTGTCAGCATTGCATGTCGGGATTCTGCTTGCTTCCTTCCTTATTGCGACTCATAAATTCTGCAGGAGCAGAGAGAACCGTCTGCAATATGATTAGTCGCCGTATTTCCTGTATAACTCTTAAGCTATTTATGGGAAAGTTTCGCCGACGTGCAAAAGCAGTTTCTATCTGGCATGGAATAGCGCGCGCGGTTCCTACTTTAATGCCCATTCATTTCATAGCTCCAGGAAGTTTCTTGACCTTCGAGGTTCAGGGTCCTCCGAAGCGTTAGTAACCACATACAGAAATATTTTGCATAACCTATAATATCCAGAGGGGCACGCGGTAGCGTAGTTGGTTGAGGCACTATGCTACAAGCCGGAAGGTCGCGGGTACAAGTCCCGATGAGGTGACTGGATTTTTTTTAATTGACCTAATCGTTCCAGCCACAGTATGGCCCTGGGGTCGACTCAGCCTTTAACAGAAATGAGTACCAGGAATATTCCTTGGATAAAGAGCGGCCGGCGCTTAAAGCTGACAACCTTACCGCCATCTATGAGACGATTCATTCACGAAAGTGAGGTTGAAGGAGATTTATTTAAGACAATAAAGTACTTGCTAAAAATATAGTGCATAACGAAATTCGCAAGTAATTCCTTCCACATTTGTGAACTGCACATCTGTGTGACTGAAATACTGTTCAAGAATTCTCACATAATTGTCCACCTTTCTCTCGTAGCAGACGGCAACGAGCAGTGTATAAGTTGTGGGACTTGTGTCGACTTTCCTTTAAGAGTTTAACGAACATTATCTCGGTTATACGTTTCAGTACACGCCTGTTTCCTTCGTGGAGAGTGCTTGACCGCTTCTGTCATGCGGTTGCCATGGTATCAAGCTCCGTTGGGCCTCGTACGGCCGCAGCAGAAAAGGAAAGTGTCACGGCATTGTGTTCGTGTGCATTAACCTCAGAACCATTACCCATCTTCAGCTCGCTTTACGGTGGCGGTCGCCGAAAGTACGTCCAAGTATCTGCGCCATTCTTTAAATTGAAGCCGCTGCTACTCTGTCCCTCCTGCTCTTGGGTCTGCCGTTAGATCGACTACCTTAACTCTTGTAATAATTGGAAAGTACACCATTTCCACGAAGTGCAGTTTGTCCACGCTTCGCTTAACATGAAACTGAGACTGTAGGGCCCAATTCCGAACTTTGAGTGCTGCTGGTACCATTGCCCGTCATTGGACATGATCCTGAGTCAGTTCCAATTTGCCTCCCATTTTCACGCGTTCACTACGATATTATTATTATTATTATTATTATTATTATTATTATTATTATTATACAATATTTTGTTCAGGTTTATCGTGGCCTTAGATCATGCACTTTCCTTTTGGAAAATGTTAGCCTCCCTGTTCCTCCCAGCAATCTTAGGGACTTCTTATTGTTTGGTGTTTGTCCCTCCAAATAACACTGTCCTACTCGGTGCGCCTCTGCTGCCGCCGTGTTGGGTAAAGATCTCGACGTACCTGGAGTCGGAGCCTTTTCTCTCAGTCACGTTTATACTCATCAGCCTAAAATTGTTTATAATATTGTTCATAATCCTACTGTTCTGTGTTATGTAGTTCTTAATTGTCATGTTCTTGTTACCGCTCTTCATCTTTGTATTGTCACGTATCATGTTAACGCAACGAGTAATCGATGGGTTCTCTGGATCGATGAATCGATTTATTGGATATTTACCAATCGGAACTACAATTAGTGTAACACAGTCTTACTGTAACTAACACTTCGCAACTGCAAGCAATGATAATGCTCTAAAGGTTACTGTAACTGCACAACTAAAATAAAAACTTTACTCTGATTTGTCCATCTTCTGTCATATTGTGTCTTTTGTTGGTCAGTTCTCTCCCTGATGTAGGTTCTCGTTGAACTGTAAGGAGAGCATATCCTTCATCAGTAAAGTTATCGCTTTCTTCGCTGTTACTGTGCTTTGGAGGTTCGTTGCCGTGTGAACGGAAACGTTTCTGTATGCGTTGCTTAGGAATCGACGTGACTCTATATGCAATGCATTGCTTCTTCAGTCTTATCCGTTGCTATGGAAAAGTGTTCCAACAATTCGCCGTCCAGCATCGGCGCCTTCCGTGTTGCCACGGGAACGTGCTCAACGAAGCCTCGCCCAGCAGATGGGCAGATTGCAGCTTTCAGGCGTCGTGTTTGTTTAATTTTCTGTATTAATGTGCTTTTTCCTGCAGTGTTTCGTTGTAATTTGTCGTCTACTTTCTGTTGTGTTCGTTCATAATGTAATTACCGGCATCCGCACTGTGCAGTTAGACTGCTTTGCCGAAAGCATATCCTCCAGGTGCATTGCAACAGGCTTATATCTCAGCATAAATGTAGCCGTCTTTCAAAGCTTTCGAGTATTGAGGTCAAATATTCGTAACGAAACTTGTTATTTTAACACTTTCCCGTTAAAATTTGAGCAGCCCCTGTGCCCGTGATTTGTGAAAACATTACAGTGACAAATTATTCAATGTTCTTAGATATGGTACCGTATAATTATACCATCATAGGGAAAAACTTGAGAGACACTACTGTATGGATTCCATATTTATTTAAAAAAACTTGACCAAGTCGAACTGGGTACCTCGATATTGCTTTTCCGATACGTAGGTGACGTACCGCTTCTTACCTGACGGTTAGGAGAGATCTGGGTACCTTGCAATGACAGTTATGTGCGTAACTCTAAGCTAATACACTCTATTTTCCTTTTCAGTATTCAGTGACTAGTGAGTTAGACGTTTTGAGAACCCATTACCGAACTGGGTTGGATTAATGGATGATTACATGTTGTAATCAAATGAAATTTGAATACTCTGCTTTTTGGTATTGCATAAGGGGCTGAAACCGGAAAGAGACGTATACATTTACGTCGTCGTTCATTTGTTTGCTGTGGTGATTGACAGCTCTCAATTGGGGAAGCAAAATTCATATTCTCCGTGATTTGTGGTTAGTTACGCCGCCTGCATAATTAGGTCGTTAGCGTCCGAATGCCTACAGTACCTGATCAACTCGTTATTTCATTAGTTGCAGCCTCATGCTTTCTCTACACGCTGTGGTTTCCGAATATTCTGTTTGAATGCTTCGTTTTGTTTCTGGTCTCGTAACTTCTTAAAGGGGAAAATAATTTGTCACATTTGATGTATCGCTGCCTTGCTAAGTACAGTTGTCATTGTAGTATTATCTTGTATTCTGCATACGCTGGCACAGGCTGTGCCAAACAGCATGAACAGGAATTACGGATTCGCCCTGAGTAGGTCATGGAAGTCTCCTATTCATTCTCCAGTGGCCAATCAGTTCCTTCTACACGACACTACTCTACTCAGATGATCAAAAAAACAAAATTGTTTATTCACTCTCCACGTTCTGGCAGCAGGCCCTGACTAAGGCAGACTTTTACCTTTCGTTTTTGTCTTTCTCAGAGTTAACATTTTCCCCCTGAAATCACTGTTGTGTCCTTGGAAAAGGCCATCATTTTAAAGTATTCTGCTTCACACTTGTGACTACAAACCGACTGTGCCCCCTGTATGCTTCCTATATACACACCAATATATTTAATAAAAAGTAAAGGTATCCCTGTAACAGGCCGTGGAGGCCCATGGGGTTGTGAAATGTTGAGGTTCCCATATTTTCTAGACAATCGGCTCACAGATGGCGGTGAGGTCAGCCCTACGCGCCGGCCGCCCTTAACCCCCAAAAATATTCCTGGTACTTCTGTTAGAGCCTGAGTCGACCCCAGGGCCATAGTGCGGCTGGAAGGATTAGATCAATTGAAAAAATCCAGTGACCTCATCGGGACTTGAACCCGCGACCTTCCGGCTTGTAACATAGTGCCTCAACAAACTACACTACCGCATGCCCCAATATATTTAATAAGTAAATAAAATACATAGCTGGAACATCAGTCCACAGTTACATAGACGTAACAATCCCATAATAATATGTCAGTTAACAAATAAGTTATCATTTAGAATCAAGAACAGTAAAATATATACATTTACAATGAATACAGTTAGTATACATGGAACAGCCATGGCTAGTATAAAATGACGACGAGATATATATGCGTAAGTACTGTGGTGGCCGCGGCAGTGGTGGTATAAGAAGAAGAAGAATGCCCGAATTCGTAATATCTCGAGAAATGCGAGGAGCATGCCCCGCAGTTTGTTTCCAAACTGACAGTACAAAGGAACGTCAGTCTGGAGTATGTTACTAGTTATTCATACGTGAAGTTAGAGCGTTTGTGTTGTTTTGTTGCAGTAGTACGATGAACAACCCCGTAAACAACATGAACAACAGCAGCGGCAGTGGTGGCGTCAACAATTCGGAGCAACCGGACCCCGACTTCATCAAGATGTTCGTAGGTCAGATCCCGCGCTCCATGGACGAGAATGATCTTCGTAAAATGTTCGAGGAATTTGGCCGCGTCCACCAGATCAACGTGCTGAGGGACAAGGTCACCGGCCAGAGTAAAGGTAGGACATCAGTGGCACTGCTGTCTTATGGTTATGGTCGTTAACACAACAACAAAGTAATAAAGCCATTATCCGTGTTATTAAAACACCCGTCAATAATGCAACAATATTTTTTAATATAAAATACATCTAAAATATGTTTCTCACTGAAAGTACCAATTTAATACCTTACGATGTTGTTAAAATCATAAAATGTCATTAAGACACTAAAAGTATAACTTATACACTAAAAGTGATCATCAAGTTATCAAAATGTCTCTAGTTTTACATATGTTTTCTTCTCACTTTACAACATGTTTCGGCCGCATATGGGCCATCGTCATGTAATTTTCGTTTTGTTTTTTCGAGGAGACCACTGCACTGTTGATTTGTCTATCGTCATTGTTTAGTTTTTATCTCACGATTTGAGCGCTGTGTTTGTACTCTTTTGCGGTCATAGTAGTTTTTTCGTGTTGTGTTTCCCTCGTATATGTGTTACTAGTGCGGTCTTCCTGGAGACATTTTGATAATTTGATGTTCACTTTTAGTGTATAATATATTCTTTTAGTGTCTTAATGACATTCTATGATTTTAACAACATCGTAAAGTATTGAAGTTCCACTTTTAGTGAAAAACATATTTTAGGTGTCTTTTATATTTAAAGAAATATTGTTGCATTATTGATGGGTGCTTTAATAACACGGATAATGCCTCAATGCAGTGGGATGCTGAAATATAATAAGAAATCCATGCTCATATTAAATAAGTAAGAAATATTAGCATCTGTTTTTGTCTTCACCCGATAATATTCCTCTGTATTTTTGACGGTCATAACCATGAGATATACGAGTATATGCCTGCGTTCACGGAGCAACTGTTTACCGACAGAATTAATAAGTAAATTTGTCTTATCGTTTCCTGTGGCACGGTTTCAGTAAATACAGCGTTATATTCCGAAGCCTTCTCTTATAATTTTGTGATTATAAATTTCAAGCCCTAATATGTGATAGCTAATAAATTGAAACGTGTGAGCTGCCGTTTTCTAGTCTCCATAAACATAAAGTTACTTAAATGAATACGTTTTTCCATGTGTTTCTTCGAATGAAGCTTGTTAGCGGTACCGCTGCGATGGCCACGCAACGTAAGAATACATCGTCGTGCTTTCAGTATCGTATTTCATAGATTAAACTCCATTATGCATGTTGTAGGGACGAGGGACTGTCTGAAAGATATATCGGGGAAGCTGCCTTGCGCGGTACTTGTACTGTCCGTCTAAAATTATAGACTAAGAACTAGTGTCCCCTTCGCACTCCGACTACCAGACTGTACGGGTCTGTGCATCGAGTCACAGACTGCAGCTTCAGCAGGCAGTCTCAGCGGTATCGAAACGCGAATCAGTGGACCCGACCATGGGGTCATATAGTACACGCACACACAGTTTAAGAACTTAACATAAATTGCCGTGCGAGGGGTGGCCGTGCAGTAAGCGTAGCGTGAAGTGATGAAGTGCCCGCCGAACTATTTCACGCACCCACAGAAATAATGTGTAGGCTTCAGGCACGCCGAGATTTCCCCTGGAGGCAATTGTGCAAAGTGCTTGGACTTTCATATGTCGAGAGCAGAGCTCTTCGACCAGTCCTTTGTGATTTGGTATGTGTTTCTACGGCCTCGTAAATTATGTAAGAAGCCATCTGTTCTCTCTCATATAAACAGATCATTTGAATCCTGTTTCACATAGCTGTTTTTTAATGGATGTGCTCCAAATTTGTCTTCTCTGCAGTTGTATATTATAATCGTTACGAAAATCCGGCTGCATTTCTGTTGCTGAAAGAACTACAGAGCCCAAAAAATCAACAATTCTAAGTAGATTCTCTGAGATTAACTCTTTCTAAGGGGCCCAACTGAGTAGGTGTCTTACTTTCTCACCTGGAGATGGAAATAGATCAGTTTTCCCGAATGTCGCGTCCTCTATTACCTAAAATTCCGGACGATGAAAAAAGTCCAAAACCCTAGTAATTCTGATTGTTATGCACCATCTCCAGAAACCCTTTAGAATTCACAAGGAGAGCGAGTGTGACGGGATGCGAAATATGAAAAACGCACCCTTTATTCTGAAAGTCTGAAGGTTGCATATTGTATGAGGGAGGTACACATACATTGGGGAATAATATTGAAATGGTTCTTGCAGAAGTTGTGGATTCACCTGGCTTGTGGTAGCACATGTTGGCATGCTTTTGTGGGTTCGGTAATGATCATCTGTATTCTCTAAAGGGTGGCATTTCTATCCCCAGTTGAGCGAACTTCTGCTTTTCAAGAAGAATTTAGTTAAATGCAGTTGGTGGGTCCCAGAGCCGGTCTGAAAGTTGTGGCTCAATTCGGTTGTACCTTCGAAATAGCACCACAGGGATTTCTCAGTTTCTTTCTAGTCAACCTTTACTTTCCATCGCTTTGCCTCTTCAGGGATCGCTGACTGCTTTTGAGGTGCAGAACCGTTTTCTTGGGAGTACCCTTTACGTCACTAGCCATGCGCACTACATACGTTGCTCAGCTCGCCTCCAGCAACGGCTGATCCTTGTAATTACAGCGGCTGCTAATGGGGGTGGTGGTGTGATAAGAGGAAGGAAGGGGGGTTTGAGCGCTGGGGAAGATAATGATGAGATCTCTGATGCTGATGTTCGTACTTCGAGTGCTTTTAAAATTGAAATGGCGCACGCTTTTCTAGGGGATGGTGGTAGGATAATACAGATTTTCTTCTCCCCCGTTTTTCTCCTGTATTTCACCATTCATCGCTTTCCTCTGTATGTACTGGGCTCTGTATTTTTACTGGCGTTTGTATTTTAGGTGAGTGGAATGCATTCATTAAAAGTTCTCTTTACAAGAGCCACTTGCTTTTTCTTTACAGCTTGTAATTTCTCATCCATATATTCTGTAAAATAAGTGGATGTTGTAATATATTTATTGCATATTTTAAACTTTTTTTGATGACTGAAAGCAAGTATTTGAAAAGTAAATTGATTTTTATAAATACGAATTATTCCCAGTTGTGAATGCTCGTGTATTCGTATATGGAAGCATAATGTGACTGCGTGAACCAATTTTAAGTGTATTTCGAATATCTGATGCAGACTAAAAGCATGAAGTGCGTGCTTCTCAGGTTTTATTCATGAATCATTTGAATTTGTAGAGGAACATAAGGGTTGCGTGAGTAACGTGTACAAGAGACGTGAAACCGTAGCGAAGTGTCCAGTGGCGGTGCTACCGGGTGTGCAACATGCATTCGTATTGGCTCATGCTGAAAGCAAACTCATCAGAAGTTGAGCGGGTCACATCTAACGCCTGACTCGCACGCATTGTTGAATTTGTGACCTTACGGTAAGATCCTTGAACCTGTCAGTTATGAATGTGATTTATCAAACAAGAACATCGGGATAGCTTTTGAGCATAATGGTACCTGTGAACAGAACAGAATTCTTCCCCGAGTTTCATTGGTTAATTGCGTTTTTTCTTTGGATGTAACGTCGACGTATTATTGGATACACATGTAGTATTGTGACTTGTATACTTATTGCCAGGCAACGACTCCATTCACACATTCCCTCATAAGCAAACGCGCGGAACAATAGGACGTCAGTTGCTAGGTAACGGACCAGTAAACACGCATTCTCGACAGCAGAATACAGTGTTTTCCGTGGGGTCCGTGCAGAACTTCCACATCCCTTAATAATTATTCATATCTTCATATTACTCGACAATATAGGGCCTAATTGTTGTAATCCAGAGCGACGTTCAGTTACCTAATAGTCAATGTTACTGATTCCAAAATCTCGTTGAATTTGATTCTATTTGTACGAAATATAATCAATAAGTAAAGATAATTTTTGCTTAATTTTAAAGTGACATTGGCAGCACTGAATAACATAATGGACCTTGTTAATGAAGTCCCCTCGGCGATCAGCCTTGTGAAGTTGGATTTAGTATCCGACGTTTCGGAGACTTTTATGGAGACATAGTCTCCAAAACGTCGGACATTAACTCCGTCTTCACACTGCTGATGGCCCGAGAAAACTTCGTGCCATGCCTTCCCCGTGAAACCACCAGATCAGATGCGAAACGGACGTTTACTCTGTGGTCTAGTGGTCAGAGTTGCTGGCTACAGATCCAGAAGTCCCGGTTTCGAGTTCCGGCACTACCATATTTTCTGAGAAATAGTGAGTCTGGAACGGGGTCCACTCAGCCTCGCGAGGACAATTGAGGAGCTACTTGAATGGAAAAGTAGCGGATCCGGTCTAGAAAACCGAAAAATAACGGCCTTGGGGATTAGTTGCGCTGACCACTCGACACACTCGATCCGCTAAGTCGGCACTGACTTCGCCGACAAGCGGCGGTCGCTCGGTCGGTATAGTTCGCTTGCGGACTGAAGCCACGGAGTTTGTTTTTTGGCTGTCACTGCATGGGCTAGATGCAGTCTGTAAAGGAAAAGGTTGAAAGTTTCAGAGGACTGCAGAGGGAGCTGTTGATGCTTATTCTACTACACGTGACGTCAGTAACACGTGTTCGGGTCGGAGACGGATCTATTAGCATATTAGTGGCTATTCATGAAATTGCAGTTGAGAAGAGAATCCATCATGGGAAGAGAAGATGACGTAGCTTAAGGCCCAGTCCAAACAGTTTATTTTAATGAGATGAGGTAACATCTGGACCATTGTACGAGATACATTAAATTGTCGATTCATCTAAAAATTAAACTGTGTCTAACTTTACGTGCTAATTTAGTCAAAAAATAATATAAGTGTCTTAATTCTTTTACTCTTCTCACATTTATTGTGTTCTTCCACACTTGTTTTGTGTGTTAAGTTTTTGTATCCTTTTAGGAACTTTGTCAGTCTTGTAATGGAGGTTACCACCCTCATGTACTGACCGCATTCATCTTCAAGTTAATAATGGCTGCACCCAAAACAAAAGAGTTCAGTTCTATTTATGACTTTCATTATCCCAGAAGTGGTACCCAATTGGGAATTTTC